AATCGTGGTAAGTAATACAGCCATTTTGTGCCTCTGCTTCTTTAGCTGTAATAAAAACGGGGGAAATATCTGCTTTAGACCTCTTGTTAGAAGTACATGACAAGATATGGAAAGCCTCCGGGGCAGTGCCTAGCTCACAGTAAGTCCTCAAAAACTGTCAGCTGCCTTCTGTCTACCCAACTCCCTCCTACACACTCTGCCTCACTCCACTGGTGCCCAACAGTCCCTCCATCTTTCCTTCAAAAGCTCCCTCTACTCACAAACAAACCCTCCAGTCCTACAACCACATCCAAGGCAGTCTTAACGTTCACACAGCACCCAGTCTATCATTCCCATTCCCGTGTCTTTCAATTCTTTGAACCTTCAAGAAAGTGTTGTAAAGGGGCTTCCTTAGTTGTATCTTCTACCAGGTGGTCCCTCAAAAATAACAGCAGGGGAAAAATGTCTGTCGTCTCCTAGATGTACAGACATAGCCAAATAGCGTATTCCTTCCCAAATCTCCAGGAATAGCCGTTTTACACATATTTACTGAAATTCTAACATCTTAATCTACCAGTCTTACTTCCCCACCTTTATTCCTTACTACTCTGCCCATTCCAAACTCAAAGACTTTATAATATTCTCTTAATCTCATACATGTTGCCTATTTTTTAGATTGTTGGAAAGAAATGTCCTACTCACCACGCACAATTCTGGGTTGTTTTCTACCTCCATTACAGTATAGACTCAAGGAATATCTTTCTCCCCTAAATCAAACTTAAGAGAAAAAAAAACCTCAACCCGATCCTATAATTTACCGGTCGCAAAACGATTGATTAGTTTTCCATGTGCTTTGTGGATACACACTAGAGTAAGAACTCAAGAGTTGGCCCCATGGCTTCGTTACTACCACCGGTACGTGTATGTGTCAGAACAAGAATCAGCTATTTTTTTTCAAGTTTCTAGTTTTTTATCAGGCCTAAAAATAGCAAAATGAATCTCTAGGAGATAAATCCCATTAACAGCCAAATGCGAATCTAAAGATCAGGGAGAAGATCCCAGAGAACGCCCTATGAACTGGAATTTGTCTTTTCAGTGATACCAATAAAAGGCTCCTTGGATTACAGTTCTTTGGGAAATTTAATAATTTGGAAGGTCTTACAGTGGAAGTGACCTTTGGAAAAATAAGCACAAACGGTCATAGAGAAAGTCTATTATTATAATATTGGCACAACAACAGTAACTTGAATAGAAACAGAAATCACGTTAATGTTTATTTTTTTAGATCCAGACTAGTATGTCTATTTGCCACACACAATGAATTTTTTGTTTTTCCTTTCAGCTCGGGCCAAGGATAGTCCAAGGTTTGAAATAGTCTGTAAAAACAAAAGTTCTACTTGAGCCCTTAAAGATTCTGATTACTGAACTTTTGACGTGAGAGAAAATAAATACAACGAATCAACGGAGGCTAATCCAACAGCAAAACGCACTGTTTTTCTAGAATCAACCCTCAAACATTCAGTAGCTAACAACCTTCTTTCCTTTTTTTGACACCTGTTTGTCATTTCATTGTCAAGTTACAGAACTTCCTTTCAAAGGTTGAAATAGCAGAAGGAAAAAATTCCAATTACTGTACTATCTGCAATTACTTATCCACAGGAAATCAATTCACTCTGTAAATTTCTTCTAGTAAATTATCTTCCTTCAGCATATAACTACTAATTAAAAAAAAAAACTCTTGCATTTAGAAAATTACATAATTCAGTTCAAAAAGATACTTGTTACTACTATCATTATTATTTTATTTAATTCTCCATCTGCAAGTTCCATCTTTCCTTGCCATGCCTGAGCTGCCCTTGAACTCCTAACAGGCCCGTAGGTAAAACATTCACTGGCACGTGCTGTTGCCAGTAAGTGCCTTGTAATAGTAGTTGGCCTTCCTGACGCTCATCTATTATCTCTCCAATTTGGCTATTGCTTATTCATTCAAAATCTACCAAGGTGGGTCCATCGTGTACCAGGCGCTGCCCTAGAGCCTGCGGATACAAATGAAGAAAAGAAGCCACAATCCTACCTTCAAGGCACTCCAGTCTGGAGAGAGAAATCTCACCATGTTATTAGTGCCCAAAGAAGCAGGAATAGGTGTAAGGCGCAACCAGTTTAGCTGGATGGGTTAGGGAAGTTTCTCAAACTGAGTTTTAGAATATGTAAGAGCTCACCAGGACAGACAGCAAGATGCATTCTAGACGGAATTAAGATCCTTGAGTTTGGCACCTTTCTTTCACACTTTTAAAATTTTAAACATGCCTAACAAATTTCTTGGCACATAGCAGATGTCTAACAAATATTTGTGGCTCTGAATTATTCATGCTAGTCCATATGTGTGGATAATTGAGAGCTAATCTATACCTAAAATAGACTTGTGAATTATTTACTGGTTTCAAATGTCATCATTCACCCATAGATACGTATACTTAAGGTCTATGTGAAAAAATATATTTGTACAGCTGTCTGTTGACTAAGAATATAGCTTCTCTTTTGCTTTTTGTGTTTAAAGCACTTTTGCAAATATGACCTCATTTAATAAAAATTAAAAACAAATTAAATACTCTTCGAGATTTTTTTTAATCCCCCCTTTTCTGATGGAAAACACGTACACACTGCGGAGCTTACAAGCTTAAATGATACCCAGAGAAGAGGAGCTTGGATCTAGGTGCTGAATCTGAATACAGGCTTCATTCAGTTCTCCAGGGATTTTGAGCAAAATCCAATCAGTCTAGCCATGCAAACTCCACAGGCTGAAGAACTGTATTTTTTTTTTTTTTAAGATTTTTATTGGGGAATTGGGGGGATGGGAACAGTGCTGGGGAATTGGGGGAAGGGGAACAGACAAGTTGCTGTCGTTTTTTTTTTGTTGTTGTTGTTCTTCAGACTAGTTGTGGAGGACGTTGCCTCACTGGCCCAAGTTGGCACCATCATTGCGCTCTTCCCGGGTGAGGCAGATCAGTTGCCAGCTTCTGGACGGCCGCTCACTGCAGCTGCTAGCCGCTCACGCTGGCTGCTGGCTACATACGGTAGCCCATGGCAACCCACTGCCACAGGGGCTGCAGTGTACGCCATTGCCGGCAACTCATGGGCAGCCCAGCTCCAGGTTGAGCTGTTGTTCAGCATCTTAGCTGTGGAGGGCAGTGTCACTGGCCCTCATATGTGGGATCCGAACCAGGGCCCTCTGGCGTCCCAAGCCAGTTCTTAACCATTGCGCCACTTGGCCGTGGCTGGCCCCTGAAGAACTCTTTATATTTTGCTTTTGAAAACACTATTCGAGTTCACCCACACTATGTACTAGCCATCCTCCCCACCCCCTATCAACCTCACTGACACACCACACATATATTTCTATTTCCAGGTTGGAGTTAAGAAGCTGCAGAAACTCTAACCTAGGGTATCCTGAGTATTATTTGGTTCTCTTTCATTTATTTGTAATGGGTGTGCCTTTCGTGGTAACAATGTTCCTTCTAAGAGCAACCAAGGCTCTTACATTTATGCACATAAAATTTGTTATGAGCATATAATACAAACTGACAATTCTAGTTTACCTGGGAATATAGACTACACACTTCTATCATTTATAGAATTCACACTTCACATTGGGGTCTTAGCTGGACTAGGCCTAGTGGTAAGGTACAAAAAGTCAGTCCCCTTTCCTTGTTTAGCACTTTAGAATTATGGACTTTAGAACTAGGGAAGGACATCAGAGATCATTTCATTCCACACCCTCAAGTTACACACAACAACACTGAGAGCCAGGTGGGGAAGATTAGATGACTCGCCCATGGCCACACAGCTAACTACTGATAAAACTAACACAGAACATAAGCCTGTTCTCCATGTGACCCACTTTGTGGATTTATCTATGACAGCTTCCTTTTCTCCTGCCACCCAGCTAAATCTCTTACTTCTACTGATGTGTTCCAAAGAAAAAGATGCACATTTAGGGAATTTAATCAGGTAAGCAAACCATATTAAGGTAGGGAAATCATCTCTAAAGAAAATCCTGAAGGCATGCTCAAATCAAATCATTATTTTTGTTTTGCTCACTGCCATTAAAGATATAAACTGGATTTGAAAATATTCTTCTAGCACTATCTCCCTAAGGTCTGAAGTTGCGTAGCAAGACGGTAGAGTAAAATTATGTGTGACACAAGGATGGATTTTTCTTTTTCCTATCTATTCATAGTTTGAAGCTATAATATACTTGTCATACGCTATTAAGAAATCATAGCAATAACCAAATTTTGAACAGGATAAACATAAAATACAAGCCAAGAGAGAAATAAAGCACGGACTTTTAACAAATTACTTCTCCTTGTCCCAAAATGTAAAATGCCTGAAAGTATCAAAGCAGTCACTCTCGTCACACTCACATTTTTTCATCATTGGCGGGGAAGCTACATTTCTTCTTCCTCTTAGGAAGGGCCCCCATCAGCACAGCAGCACCCAAGTCCCTGTAATTCTTCCCTGATAAAAACCTTACCTTCCTGACTCAAGTATTCAATAAGCACTTACTAAGGACCCACTCTGTGCCAGGATGTCTGCAAAGTGAAGGGGACACATCAACCAATACGTCATTCTCCCTGCTTCTTAGAAGTTCATCTAATAGGCTTGTGGTTCCAAAGAAAACTCCAAGATCAGAAGCAGCGAACTTCCTTTATTCAACAACGATTTACTGAGTGCCAGGCACCAGAGAGAAAAAGTAAATAAAGAGGAAAATTTAAAAAGTAAGAGGGCCTTTCCAAATTTACTTAACAACTTGCTCTTTTGAATTACTGAAATCACACGTTCTTCTCCAAGAATGTCAATCGTCAGAAGTTGACTGTGAAGGCTTTGATGACGACACCTAACCGAACACGCACTGTTCCCTTTATCTTCCTACTTTGGGAAGCCAGGCAGATACTGCCCTGGACCACCCATTTTTGGTATCTAATATAAGATCCATATTATAGGAATGTGAGTGATCTTACCAACAAACTGAGATGAGGTGTTTCCTGTGTAGACAGGGGCTGTGAGCCTCCAAGGTCAAAGGTTACACTTTCTTGCCACCACAGAGTGCATCAAAGTAGCATGGGCAACCCTTCACGATGACAGCACCAGGCCAAGTTTTCAGGGTGACAGGTCTCCCTTTTCCTTCTCCCTTCCACAAAAAGCACAAAAGGTATCAATTAGTATACAAGTCATCTGGAAAATATCCCATTTTCCTCGGAGTTTTTTTCCTTGAAATTAATCTAGGAAATCAACCCTTATGAGTCCTAATCCATTATTATTTTTAATACTATTATTGGTAGTGGTGGTGATAGCAACTTCTAGCTTGGCAGTTCACAAAATACTTTCAAATATGTTATTTCACTCACTGAAAAAAGATGGAGAGGAGATAATAGGAAACATTATAGGCAACTATCTCAAATATAAAAAAATCGAACCCAGTTTAATTGGAATTGAAAAGAGCATTTTCAGCCCTACCAAAGTGTCAAGAAATTATTTCTATCAAAAAAGCATAGGACTAACTCTAGCAATGCAAAATCACAAATTTCCCTCAAATTATCCCTAATTAACTCAATTTGTAAATGTTAATACCATAGTCTCAGCAAGAATCTCGTACTATAAATCTTTATTACCGCAACCCCTTTCCCAAATGCTTTATATGGCTCAATAAATATCCTAAATAAGAAATACTTAACAATGAGGAAGCTGCCCGAGAAAGACAAACTGACAACACTTAGCATTTGAGTACCTTTTTAAGAGCTAACCAACATTTATTGTGCACCCAAAAGGTACGAAGAACTAGGTTAGACACTGCCACACAAATCATCTCATCAGCCATGCCAAGATACTCCTGAATCCCCAAAACTAAACTGACTGGATCCCCAATATTAAACACTTCCAACACTGGCAACCTTGATCTCACTTAATCCCTAGAACTAAACTGGAACTCGATTTCTGCTGGAACTCAGCCTCTCCCTCTCACAGGCTGAAGCATTTTTTTATGCTGTCTACACGATAATACTCACACACAAAATCCTGGTGCCTGTTTTTAAGCTCTTAACTTCAGAATACACACCATTCATCTCAGATATGGCACATGGTGATAATGGCCATCAGCTAAAACAAGTACTCTCGGATCACACTAAAGAATAAACCCATTGGGTTGTTGCAAAAGTCATGATGTATTTTATCTGTTTTTCGTTGCAAAAATGCATCATGACTTTTCCGACAACCCAACAGAATGCTAATGAAACTGAATTTCAGCTGGGCACAGACACTGGATTTTAACAAGTCTTCCCAACCTCAAGACGCCTTTCCAGTTCTCTGACGACAGAAAGCTTTCGCTACTTGAATGAACTACAGAGGGCAAATTTGACCCAAGAGTCCCCACTCACATACTCATCAGAGAGAACTGGGGGGGAAAGAAAAATTATTCCAACTGGCACGACCACATTACAATGTTAACAACACATTACTCACCATTGTGCTACAAGAAAGAACTTGCAAGTGGGCAAGGAACATTTAGGAAGCCAAGAAAACAAACAAAACTCTCCCAGTCCTCAAAGCACAAACACATCCAAATGCCAAAGCAGGCCACACTGTCCAGTTTAGATCCGGGGGTGGGGGGAGCCATTCTAGGGCAGGTGTGCTTGCTAGCACCAAGACAGACTTCTTTCTTGGATTCATCAAGAATCTTTTCAACAAAGAAACACGGGGTGGGGATGGGGTCCCCACCAATTTTCATAACTTGATTTATTTACGTACTCACAGAGACCATGCAATATATGTAAATAGCAACACGATGTGATAATGGTTGCAGACATTCCCTTTGGAATCCATCATCTCTGTAGCTAAATCCTAGCTCTGTCACTTTCTTGCTGTGTGACCTTGGGCAAGTTATTTAACTTCTCTGTGCCTGAGCAGGGACCTCATCTGATACTCACTGTGGTATCCTCATCACCTTAAGCAGTGCCCAAATGCTCTGGGTGAATTAATCAATATTTCATTAACACAGTAATAAATACTTTAGATGAATTAATCTGTAAATAGGTATAAAAACATCTAATGGAATGGCTGTGAGTATTAAATGAGGTAATAGATAAAGCGCTTAGTAGAACTCAGGGTAGAATCTCACTATTAAATAGAAAAGGTTTCTTCCCTTTAACTCCCAGCCAGCTCAGAAGTTGTAACAGAAGAGTCGCGGCAGGATTAAGATGGGAGAAGAAGTGTAGAAACCAAGCACTGGAAGATGTTTACTGCTAGGGACCTAGTCATAAAATCCAGGAATACCTAATCTTGGTGGATGAAATTAAATTACGGTGCCAGACCCTTATAGTAGCTACAAAATAAATGCTAGTTGATCCAGAAAATGCTATTTTGAGTCTTCAGGTGTCTGCTACCACATAGATTAAAAGCCTGGCTGAAAAGAAAAAAAAAAGGGGTGAGAAATGAAAGTGGCATCTCAAATATACCTTACTACATATTTACAAACCAAACATAAAGGATTTTTTAGAAGGCTATTCAATTCCCTAAAAACTTCCCATTAGCAAAAACACTCTATTGATTCACAGTATTTACTGGCCTTTTTAGGTAATAAGATCTGTGTAAGTAAATTGTTCTTAACTGCTGACAGGGTAAATAAATTTGAAAGATCTGGGTCCAAAACGCTTCTCCCTTTACTCCAAAAAGACTAATGGGGCCTTGGCAGCTCGAGCATCGAAGGCTCATAACCAAAGCAGCCTGTGTACACGCAGAGGGAAGGGCAACTTCATCTTGAAAACGGGAGGCCGGACCGTACACGCAATCCCACATCGGAAGGAAACTTTTTCCTTGACTAGAAAGAACTGAATCTCAGAAGAAAGTAGCTCTAAGAAACCTGAGTCATTATGAGCCTGATAGGCAGAAGTATCCATGTTTAGTTGTCTAACTAGGAGGAAAACCTATGCAGAACTGAAACAGCCTGTGGTTAGACCTCATCATAATGTGGTCTTCGAGTTCCCACTTCACTTCCCAGGCATCTGCTGTCTTTTTAACCACCAGACCTCCTCGGCAGTACCAGAGGCGGGAGAGCACTGCACAGCAGTCAGACGAAGGGCTCGGCGCCCACTCGTGCTACTTCGGAGGCACATGAACAGAGAGCAGTCGCTTCAACTCTGCTTCAGCACTGAGACTCTTGGGCAGACTCTTTCTACACCCGAGGCCTCACTTTTCAGAAGGCAGGTAGCCAATAAAATGTTTGTTGTTGATGGTACACAGTACTCTGGACGAGTCATTTCAATTTTCTGGGCCTCATTTTCGTCACCTAGAAAATGATGACAATATGGAAATTTCCTTTTGGTTCTAAAATGATAGTATACATACTACTACATAGTCTGTATTTGTTTCTCACATTATATATATATATATATATATATATATATATATATATATATATATATATATATATATATATATATATATCCTGTTTAACCCAGAAGGAAAATTCCCAAGGGGCCAATCCTCCTGCTACTTGTTTACTGACTGGGTACCACTTCCGTGACATCTTCGAGCATCTTGCCCAAATTCCAGTACACGGCAGGTGTTCAGTAAAAGGGATTTATAGTCTCAAACATCAAGGGAAATTTACGTAGATGATTTTTTAAAACCTTAATTTCCATAGTGAACTAGCATATTACAAGAGAATCACAAAGATAATGTGAGACAGAAGGAATTTAATACTGGTAAAATAAGAGGTCACCTTGTACAAATCGCGAGGGATTATTTTACGCAACCAAAGAAGCTAGGATGCAGCAAATCTGAAGTCTAACTCTCAAATTCTATGTTTGGAACTCGGAGAAGTATGGGAAGTCTCTACCCCTGGTCAGTAAACAACGGGGACCAAGTATTCTTCATGTCAGGTAATCTTGTCCTTAGCACTGATGGAAAATTTCAGAAAATGTACAGTCTAACACTCGGACACGTGAGCTCCCAGTTCACAGAAGACCAAAAACAAATGCTCACAAAGGAACTCATACGAGCAGGTGCATTTTTAAAACAGATGAGAACTTGCTGTCGAAAGTAGTTTCGTTAACAGCATTTTATTTTCCCAATATCTTGTGTCCGTTCCTCAAACGGGATTACCCTCCTGTAAATATCAAAATTTACTAAACACTAAAGCCTCGAAGGAATTCTCTTCCTCTCATGTCAGTTATTAATGACTCAAAAGGCTCTAGTAGACCAACTCATTTTAAATAACACTGACTTTTCAAATAACTGTTTTAGAACACAAAACTGCTGCTTTCAAAGCTGAATTCTATATGATATTTTCCAAGTAGGTATGCAACCAGGATACAACTCTGCTATAGTTAAGGTACGAGGTTTGTAAAGAATTCTAAGCCAGGTTTTGAGGGATGAGAGGAAACAGAACCTCTTTAAATGTTTATACCGATCTGCTTTTTCCATTCCTGTTCTTCACTCCTATTCTAATACCTGCTAACTCCTGCTATCTTGTTTCTTTGCTCCTTTTCATGACTTCTGCGTCCCCTACCCCTTACTCTAAGAGCTCTTTGGGGAACCACAGGTAAGAGGCTGGTGCCAGGAGCTGGGGATCTTGCCCTGTTCCCCGTTGTCTCCAAATAAAGTCAAGGGCCACAGGCAATTTTCTCCTCCACGGCTCCCCCGCCTCCACCAGGTCTTTCTTTTCAAGGCCAGACAGCAGACATGGGGGGAGTCACTTACTCAAAGGAAATGGAAGTTCATTAAAGCCCACTCGATCAACTCTGTCACTATTGACAGCAGTTTTCATCTCAGGCTTGTCTCCCTGAGCCTGTTCTGGCCGATAACCCTCACACAGGTCCCCACAAATTTTCCAAATATACAAAATGTGGGCTAATAAATAAAAACAGTTTCTCAAAAATCTGAACTAAGGAGAGCTACAAAAGAAAACCAGTTACAAATTCAAGTTTGGAAATGCATTTTAGAATTACAAGTGGATTTGGGATTATCCACCTCAAAGGTCCATGGTAATGTGCTTCAAACCCCAAGTGGAAATCAAGACCTGACATATTAGGTTTAACCATATAATATTGCTGATGTTTGCTTTCATCTACAAAACTAATTTCATTTAGTTCAACTCAATATTTAATTTCTTCTTGGCGGGGGAGGGAAGAGCTT